AACCGCTCCCCAGCAAAGACGTAGAGGAAGGGGTTGAGGCAGCTGTGGAGGAAAGCGATGCTCTGGGTGACCTGCAGCCCGATGTCCAGCCGGTCAGCAGCCTGACAGCTGTACGCCACCCTGGCATAGGTGTTGATGGCTTTGACCAGCAAAACAATATTGTACGGGAACTGAGAGAGGAGGAAAGCGGTGATGATCATGGTGATGATCTTCAGTGACTTCTGCTTTTGGGATCTTTTGGCTTGCAGGAGGGTGTTGATGATAAGGGCGTAACAGATAACCATGACAAGGAGCGGGAGGAAGAATCCGATTGTGACTTTCAAGGCCAGGACAGTAACTCTGAAGATCATGCTGACATTTGGCGGGTACGTAATTTTGCATACTGTCATGTTACCTACCCACATGCTTTGGCTGTACATGATTTCTGGGATGCACAGGCTCACGGACATCAGCCAGACAGCCAAGCACATGAGCTTGCTGCGCAGGAGCCACCTTCGCTTAGAAGTTTTAGCTTTCGTCGCCTGGACAATAGTGATGTACCTGTCAAAGCTGATGCAGGTTAGAAACAAGCTGCAGCTGTAGAAGTTTATCTTATACATACTGTTGACAACTTTGCACATGAAGTTCTTGAAGATCCAGCCGTTGGAGGCAGCCTTGGCCCAGAAGGGGAGGGTGAAGAGGAGGAGCAGGTCCGCAATGGCCAGGTGCAGCAGGTACAGATCCATCATGCTCCTCCTGAAGCGGTATTTGCAATAGACGAGCACGACCAAGGCATTTCCCACCGTGCCCACAGAGAAGATGACCCAGAAGAACACCGGCAGGAAGGCTTGAGCGAACTGCCTGACCTGCCTCTTGTCGCACGTGAAGTCTGTGTCGTTCACCAGGTTTCCATACAGGGACAGCACCACGCTGTCATTCCTGTAGTAATCCAGGCTGGTCTTGCCAGGGTGGGCGACCTGCAAGGGGACATCAGGTAAATTTGTGTTGAGAAGTGGCTCAATAAAGCATAAATTTGCCCCTCTCCACCAGATGCAGTTGAAGATCCCCAATATATTCCATTTTGGATGGGAAAGCACAAAAGCTGCTAGCGAAACACAGAGCGTTTCATCTGCCTGAAGTGTGTGGCACAGCAAAGATTTATAAAAATGACCCATTGAGTAAGAAACTCTTTACAAAGAGCAGTTCACCACCTCCAGCCAACTCCAGTTATTAAAATGGCAGATGGGGAGAGCATTATCTCTGTCAGATCCTTCAAAACACTGTTGGCTTGGCAGCTTCAAATACTTAACAAAATGCAAAATCCCCAACTTGGAAAGAGGTGGGGAAGAAGGCTTTGTGTTACTGCTGCCGTGGGATGGCACCAGTGGCTTGAGAGAGGCAGAAAACTGATGGGGGCAAAGAGGCAGGGGAAAGAAAAATAGATTACGCAGCACTGTAGCTGTATACTCACTGTGCTTGCAACTGCCATCTTCAGCCAGACCTTTACTCAGTCTTGAAGGAGGCTCCGTAACCTGGAGAGGAAAGATGGGGGCAAAACAACTGATTTGAAACAGCTTTGAAGTAGAACTATGACTCTTTTCTTTCTTCTTCTTTTAATAAAAACCTCAACCCTTTGAAACAAGTCTGGCCGGAAGATGAACAAACCACACAGAAATTGATGTCACTGGTTTGAATTATTTAGCTGTTTCCATGTTACGAATTTACATTTAGCCTACATTAGGTCCTCAGCTTCTCTATGGCACTGTGCTGATTAAGTCCTTTGCTGAACTAGAATCACTGCGATCTCGTTTTTAATAAGATGTAGAGTCCCCAGTGCGCACAATAAAAAAGAAAGTAATCTGAAAGCACCATATCTTCCAAAAGATTCGTGAGAGTAAATGAAATGTGTCTCTTGTCTAGCAACTAACAAGGAAAAGTACCTGCCTTTAGTAGTAGTTTGCAGTGTTAAAATATTTGCATCCTCTGCAGCGACTGATAATCTCTGCCTGCAACAGCTTTCTTATCTGCAAGTTCAAGTGCGGTGCTCATTGCTGTTGGCCTGCAAAGCAGATCATTGTGCCCCGGTAAACAAGAAAATATTGTTTTTTCCTGCTGCAGATTGCTTTTCAAGTCAGTCTACCATCACAAAAGGTAGCTGAGCCTGGCGGGCTCGATGCGAGTCACGCACTCCTAAGTATTCAATGTCTTCTGTACGAGCCCGCCTGTGCTAGCGCCTGGGGATGAAGCCCGGGGACAACGCAAGGTGGGTCCTCTTGGCACTACCGGGGACCTTCAGCTAGCACAGACCTTTCCTCTGGACATCAGTGCCTTCAAAAGCAGGTCACACAACTGAGAGGTTGCCTCACAGAGCCAAACCTCTCACCGCAGCAGCAGCTGGATGGAGCCGAACCTTCTCCACGGGGAAACGGCCCGCATTCACGCTCTGGCTTCCCTCTGGTTGCTCGTTGCGCGCTGACTAAAAGCACCTTCCCTGGTGTTATTTGGGGCACAAACCGATGCAGCATGCAGTTTGCCTCCCCAGCCTGCGTTAGGGTTAGCTGAGTTAGCAAGTTTGTCAGCAAAGCCAGTTTACTGTAAGCGGCTGCGTTTAGGGATGGCGAGTGCGTTTGCAGCTGCGTCTCTGTGTTTGTGGCACCCTCTGGCCTGAACTGCTTTTCATCCCTTTGCCTGCTCTCGGTGCCAAAGCGAACACTTGCAACAAATATTTGCAGGGTTTCGGAATCTGGTAACAAAAAAATGAATGCAGTTGTTTTCATCTATTTAGAAATGATTGTGCTCAGAAAGGACAGGTTAGGGGTTAATCCTTCCATTTTTTATGTTCATGAAGCAACTTTAATAAATATGAATTATTTAGGAGCAAGGTTGGCAGCATGAGATCTTTGCAATAAAAGAACATGAGTCTACGCACAGAGTGTTTGCTTAAAAATAGATTGAAGAAATAAACCCAGTCATAAATATGTGCTCTGAGTTTTTAAATTTTCTATCAAGATACAGAACTACATGCAGAATTATGGTGCTCCCTGGAGTTTCAAGTACAGATATAAATATAGTACCTGGCTTTTAATGATGCCACCTCTACCCTGTGCATAGTAGTTGAATTTTGATGCACAAAATTCAAAATATATTTTTATTCGACTTCTTGTCAAAGCAGACAACCAAGGAAAGTAAATGGCCAAGCATACTAATGCTACAGCATGGCACAGAGTTTACGCCTGTAAAAATATGCAAGCAGACAGAAAGAAAACACCTGTACAATACCTATAAATTGGATATGCCACATGTAAATACTAAGATGTAGAAATTAAGACCAGTCATAGCCATGCACATACAAATGATGTTGGACAAGTCTGCTGAAACAAGTGGAAAATGCTTTTCTCCCAGCCGCGGTTCAAAACAGCAAAATCTCTGGCGGCAACAGTGCCAACATCCCCACGTGGGGTTTTCCCTGTCCCTGTCCCTGTCCCTGTCCCTGTCCCCATCCCCATCTCCATCCCTGTCTGGCTCCAGCCCAGGCAGCAGTGCGGGCACAGCTGGGGGCCGGAGGGGCGACCGACTCCACCGAGCGCAGGCAGCGAGGGTGCACCCACCCCGGCCCCCTCGTCACAGGCCCGCTCACACACATTGGGGTAAATACGGGGATATCCGAAAGCCGAGCCGGATTCCTGCCATCCGAGGAGCAAAGTGTCACGACCTCACCTGCAGCGCAGAGGAGGCAGCGTGCTAACCACAACGGCCGCCTGTGCTGGGGTTTTGCTTTATCGTTACTGCTGCGCTTGTTATGCGTTATATTAACAATAACAATAATGTGGGGTTAGATACAATGAGCTTTCAGATGTTCTAGTCAGCACCTGATTTTTTTCTGTGGTGAACCTCACAGCACATTAAAAGTTGATAAGCAACAGAATGTCCCTTGAGATGAGAGGCTGCTTATTAATCAAAATTAATTTGATCCCTTTTTGCTTATTTTGGGGAGAAAAATGGAGTTTCAGGAATTGCTGCGCTAAGCATGTGACTCATCCTTCCCAGCTACGCGGCAGTGTCAGACCTGCCGCGCTCCACCTGCTGCGACTCCTCGCTTCAGAAACTCCTCAGTGATTTAAAATCTCAAACCAGCAAAGCCTCGTTCCTGTCACAACAGTGCAAAATTTGGCTATCGAGGCTGGGATCTGCCATGTACGACCCAGAGGTGACTGTGGCCAGCCACAGGCAGTCAGCAAGCTACTGATTTCTCCCTGGTACCCATTTCCCAAACGTCATTGCAGCATCTGCTGAAGGGTACAGAGCTGTGCATCCCCAGGGGGCTTTTTGATGTTATTTTCTTTTAGCTGTCAGACCTACCTTAAATTGCAATTGAAAAGATCATTGTAATTGTGCGAGTTCAATGGCAAATGAGCTTTTTTTTTTTTTTTTAAAAAAGGCAATTTGTAATTTGGTTTCCTTTCCATGGAGGCTGCACGTGGAAAAGACAGATATGAATAGCAGAGGAGGGGACTCACCGGGACAGCCGCTGCAAGGGGGGTCAGCCCGGCCGTCGCACCCACCAGTTGCACCGCCACACACAGTGTTTGCTCTTTGCACCCGCGATTAAGCTTTGGGCTTTTTGTAGGCTGAGGTGGGTGTGTGCTCCCCGGACCCCAGCCTAACGAGACCTGTCACAGCCTGTTTGTGGTTTGCATGGTTTAGGTGGCTCAAACACAGATGGCAACCTTCTCTTTTTTTCTTTTTTCTTTGTTTTTTTCCTGGTAAGCTCTTTTGATAGCAAAGGGAAGACCTCTCATACCATCATTTTTCTGTTCACATGCATCATCTAACACAGGGCAAATCACAGGCTGCTCCCAGTGCGGCCGTGTGCTGCTGGAAAACACTTTCACGGGGGGGGGGGCGCGGAATCCCCAAACAAGAACTGGGTCCCTCTGGGGAGCTGCGAGTGTCCCCTGGGGAGGCTGGGACAGGAGCAAGGAGCCAGGTCTAGTCCTGCCCACCCCAAGCTGGCCCACAGGCACAGCTCCCCACAACTGCCCACCAAGGCTGCAAGTAAGCAGGGGCCAGGATCACAGGGTCTGCGTGATGCCCCACAACACCAGGTGCTCTGCAAGCAACAGCAAAATGGAGCAAAATGAAAGTACGCCACCTTCAAGAGGAAAGTCCAGGCTATTCCTGCCACAGAAACTGGGGAGACCCGGGGCAGGACTGCAGGCACTCACATAAAGTCCCTGCTGGTGGCCTGTCTTATGTGACAACCATCCAGAAGAAGATGGCAGGAAGGATTTTGAAGGGGAAGGCAGTGAGAAGTGGTTAATAAATATATGAACTCACACATTTTATATCTTCCTCCTGGCAAGCTAGCATGCAAATTACTGTGATTTAAATTCCCCTCTCTGCAGGAAGTCCGAGCACCATGGGGTTTTGCTTAAACGCTGGATGGTGTTCAGCTGTGACCGATGCTCGTTCAACTCACACTTCAAGAAAATTTCCAAACTGCAGTTCAGGCTGAGTTCCAATTATGGAGAAAACAATGATTCAGGTTAGGTTTTGGGTTGAGCTCAGCTGTCACTTGGCTCCACACTCCAGCGTCGGCAGTGTGGCATCCCCTTCCAAGGGGAAGGAACCCAGGGTGCTCCACACTCAACTCCGAAATCCCCACTAAGGTGTCTGCATATCTTTAATAATTAGCTATCATCCTGAAACTCTTCCTGAAACAGGCGTGAGTTTGCATGCAATGATACCTCTGTACGGCACATGGCCTTTCTCACCTCCTAGAGCCCCGGGTAGGAACACAGGTGGAGGAGCAGCTCTCTCAGCTGAACCCCAGGGCACCTGCTAAGGAAAGCGTAGGTGTGACAGCACAGGCGTAGCCTCTGGGCTCAGGCAGGACTTACTCCAGGCTAGCAAATGGCTGCCTGCCAGCTGAGCCATGGTAGTTACCCCTAATTCAAACTAGTTTGGCCCTCGGCGTAATGCAAGGTGATTCAGCACTGCGAGAGCTACGTTAACTGCAGTAGGGTAAAGGCATGTCCGTGGGCAAAGTCTCTGATGCAAAGGATCTTCACATCCTTTGGTCTGGCCATGAATCTGAGCCCTCATGGTCTGGATTTAAGTGACTTCAATTAGACTTAGCTTAATTCTCCCTAGAAGCAAAGCGATAAGTACAACT